ACGAGCGCTTCCTCATGGTCCTCGCCCACCAGGGCTCGCCGGCTGCCACCTCTCAGCAGGGAGGCAGCGGCAGTGGTGGTGACCAGTGGATTGCCGTCCAGGTGCTCAAGGTGGACCACAAAGGCAAGACGAGGGCGCACCCTGTGCCGACGCCGGTGCCGTTGGCGCTGTCGCCTCGGTCCACCGCCGTCTGGGCGGGCTTCACCGATGAGGGCACGCCGGCGGTGATGGACTCGGACGGCGTCGTCCGCCTCTACAAGACCCACTTTGGCAGTGGCTGGTTTCCCGTCTGTGCCACCAAGGAGCATGTAAGTGGAGCTTTGCGTGGTTTAGGAGTTTGTTTTCCAGCACTTTTTCACCATTGCTTTGCAATTGTCCCAACAGGGCAACGGCCGCTCTGACAACTTCTTTGTCATTGGCCTGAGCGAAATTCAGGCGCAGATTCGGTGCATCTTCTGCAAGGCCTCTCGCTACCCGGACACGGTGCCGAAGCCGACGCTGACCCTTCTCCCGCTGCAGGTGCCCCTCTGTGAGCTGTACACGAACAAGGCGAAGATCGAGGAGGAGGCGATTCGCAGTCGATGGCTCGGTTCGCTGCTGAAGCGACTCTCCACCGACGGCTACGATGTGGATGCGGCGCTGGAGGACGCTGACAAGCGAGTGGTCAACTCGCTCATTAAGCTCTTTGCGGTAAGTCGATGGGTTTTTGGGATTCATCTGAGAGACTGACTTTTCCCTTTTCCACCCACTTTAGCTTGCCCTGGGCGCTGACCGGGAGGCGCTGGCACTGGAGATTGCCAAGATTATGCCCAATCGAGGTGCCCTTGAGGGGGCGGTTCGCTACGCTGAACGACAGAAGCACCGCAGTCTGGCGATGAAGCTGATTGAGATGATGCAGGACGAGGAGACGGCTGACGGGGAGAGCGACCTGGATGAGCAGAACTCGGACACTGAACTGCAGGAGCTGATGGTGCGGAAGAGTGCCGACCAGGCGAGGCAGCTGCTCGCCCTCACCGAGGAGGAAGAGTCGCAGAATAGCAACAGTCGAATGGTCGCTCTGGCCAAGTTGACCAGCGCCAGTGGCGAGAGTGGCAGTGCCACTGGCAACTCCACCGGCGGCGGCGGCGGTTNGCAGTGTCACTGGCAACTCCACCGGCGGCGGCGGCGGTTTTGTGCAGCTCAAACCGAAGGCCCTGGGGATGCGAGGGCAGGACAATAGCGTCTCGATGCAGTCGACGATCAACTACCTCGACGATGATGACGATGACGACATTGGCGGGAAGGTGGTGGCACTGGGGGAGGACGACGACGATGACAATGCAAACGACGGCAGCTTCCTTCGACCGATGCGAATGACCGCTCGTCAAGCCAGCAACAAGGAGAATGGCGGAAAGAATCCATTCAAGGTGGTGACGGCGGACAAGAACAAGAGTACCAACCAGCGAATGCGAGAGTCGGCACTGAAGAGAAAAAAGTTCGAGGTGGAGGCAGAGGAGGAGGATGAGGATGAAGAGGAGGCTATCACCGGGGAGGACTCGAACGACGGCGGCGAAGCCTTCAAGAACTACCTCAAATCGGTTCGAGATCAGCTGCTGGAGGATAACATCGAGGAGATTGAAACGGAAGATGACCTGTTGGCCGTTGCCAAGGTCAACTTTGGCAAGCTGTCCGAGGCGGAGAAGAGAAAGCTGAAGAAGGGGCCTCTAATTTCGAAGCGATCTGCCAAACAGTCGTCCTCGAAGCGGTCCAAGCAGGCTGAGCTGAAGAAGACTGCTGAAGCTGAGGCGCCTAAAGTGAACAAAATTACTAATTTCTTTGGAAGAAATAACAACAACTGAAGTTAGGTGTCTCTCCACTTGTACAGTTTATATTCTAATCATTTTCACCCAATTGTGCTTTTGGTAACTGGTTACCGATTATCTCTTTATCTCTCATAT